TCCATAGCGATTTAGACCAAAAATATCAGTCTTAGTAGAATAACAAGACCAAAAAGAGGAAGGGGGGAAGAAGAAACTGAAGAATAGCACAAAAATAGGGAATATAATGATAAAAAAGATAAATAAAAACAAGAAAAATTGGATTATACAAAGGAGAAAGAGAAATGAAAAAAAATACGGAAAGACAAGATAGAAGAAGAAATCGCGATGAACAAAAAAAGGAAAAATAAAACAAATAAATATCAGTAAGATTAGACGAAGAAAAATAAAGAAAACAAGAGGAAAATCACAACAAAGGAAAAGAAGAAGAAGACAAATCGAAGAAAGAAAAATAAGAAGTTGGTGAAGAAAAATAATCCGCAAAAAAAATTAGACCATTTGGCCGCAAATAACAATCTCATAAAACTTAAGAATAAGTAGATGAACAATAACGAATAATAACAAAGAATAAAACGAAGAGGAGCAAAAACACGAGAAAGAAGATAAAAAACTCAAGAACAATAAAAAGAAGTAAGAATAGATAATGAAAGATGAAGATGATGAAAAAGAAGAAGAGAACGAACAAATAAATAAAAATAAAACGTTGATAATTACTATAATTAACATAGTTATATAAATGTCAAACCCAAAAAAAATTAATGAATATTTATAAAACGTAGATAATATCATTAAAGAAATTAAAAAATATCTAACTTTTTTAATATGTTAAAATATTATTTCACTAATTATGATATATTACAAGTTGTTATCCATCATTGATATTTTATTTCAACACAAATACAAAAGTTATAAAACAAAAAAAAACAGTAGTTTTACGGAGACATTCAAAATATTATTCTATGAATAATAAATCTTTATGTGCATATAAAATTTAAAACTAACAATCATTCATATTTATTTTTATAAACAATAAATGGTATTATTAAATACTAAAATTAATGTACTCTCTAAAACTTTTCACATCCGCACACGCACACGGTGCGGATCAATCACCTAATCAGCATTATGTTCTCATAGGATACCAGTACCACCAAAGTTAACATGCACATATGACCAAAAAACATGCACATATGACACCGACGTTGTCCAAGTCAGTTATACATGTAAAATGTGTAAGTTATACTACTAGTACGATTTAATAATTTAAGCTAATTAACTTTTAAGCTAATCAGAAGATACGTAAAGCATTACGCATGCCGAGAATATAACAAAGATCCATTTCGGATCACTGAATTTTCTTTTCAACTTTCACCTCCCTAAAATGCAATTACCTATTCACATATGTAACTTATTTTGCCCTTCACAGATGATCCACACGTTAATTTGTTTGCTTTACAACAAGGTGATGAGTCTACAACAAGGTTGAAACTATTGTGTAGGCTAGTTAGCGAGTGAATAAAGCATGTACTTTTTAAAAGATATTTGTTAAACTTGCGAATCAAGTTTTCTAATGTGTATATATAGATGTGTCCTAAATCCCTTTTGCATCAATTCAATTCTCTCTAGCTAGCTCTTATTAAAAAGGTTAAAAAAAAAAAAAAAGAAGCTTTCTTAACTTTTTTCTTTTCACCCTCTCACGATGAATGAATTTTTCGAGAAGATAAATTCCAAGGCCAAAACTGCGAGGACGAATGTGAATATAGCCCGTGCAGTTCACAGGGAAGCGATTAACTCGGGTTTGGAAGACGAAGGGTTCAAAGCCGTGGCTAACCTGATCATTTCACTGATGGATCAAACCATCAATGCAGCAAATCATGTTGAAGAGCGCTTGCAAGTTCTGCGGTCTGCAGGTTCATGCCCCAATTTTCTTCGAGATCTTGGAGGGACCGAGCAGATGGCTGATAATGCCTTGGCGAATTCAAAACTTGCGATAGAACAAATGAAAACTGCGGTTGTTGATGCAGAGGATTGGAACTGAAGAGCAAGGAACGTAGCAGGAGGAAGCAATTAATGACCAAGACGCTAATTCATAACATACATCTAATAAAGTAAATGATGCATAAGAGTATTTAGCAAAATAATGATATCTTTTGATGCTTTAGGCCAAAGATGCATAAGAGTAATTAGTAAATTTGCTGTTGAAGGACTTTCTATTAAATCGGATCTTTGAATAAACGTGTGACTATCAAATTCTGTTGTAATAATTTTAAAGATTATATATATGACTTCCTCTATGCTTAGTTAAAAAGAAACACAAAACCAATATTACTTTAGCTCGGTTTTATAGTTTGCTTTTCATAGTAGAAATTCATCAAGTACGATGTCATTTAGTAGTGCTCGAGATTGGTTTAGATTTTAAACGCGGCTGCGGTTATACGAGTTTGCAGAATTGAGCGTTTACTTATTTAGAGTTATTGAAATATGACTGGTGTAGTAATTGGAAAGATGTGCGTGTGGTTGGAAGCAAGTGTGTTATGACTTCTTTTTTTAGTTTAAACTCGAACTTAATTCTTCTATTAGTGTAATACTTGGAAGCCTACATTAGTTTCTCCCTCGTCACAATTTGATGTAATCAATTTGGAGCAGTACATTCCAAAGTTGCAAAATAAATAGAAAAAAAAGAAGCCTTCCTAGCAACAACATCAACACAAGAGTTGATTTCTCTACCTTGAAAACCTAATCTTGGTTTTAACACATTTATTCTTCTTCCAAGGATCTCAGTTGTATAGCTCCATAGTCATGGCCATCCCCTTGGCTCCATCTGAATGTCACTCTCAAGTCTCAAAGATGACCTCTTCAAAATCAAAATGATCTAAACACGAGATTGCCCAAGTAAGAGCGGTAGCTTCAACTTGAAGACAAGATTGAAAACGAGTATATACCTTTGCACTAATCCATTTCACGATTTTTTC